CGCAGACCGAATTAGACGTGCCAGCAAAGATGATTATTCGCCAGCCGTCAAAGTTGGAATCGACCGGATTTATGTGTTCGGAAAACAGACAAATAGAATCGGGTGTATATGTAGCTAGAACGTTACTACCTATAAAATATGAAGGACAGTGTGTTAGGATTTTAAATGTCAACGATCAACCGAGGGTGATAAACCGGAGAACGCGATTGTCAGATTTATCATCGGCTGTGGAAGCAAAGAAATCAGTTGATCGTCTAGCCTATGAAAATCTAACAGAAGTAACAGGTATAGTTGATGGATTAGTAAAAGATATTCCTAAGGAAGCGAGAAAAGAGTTGACTCGAATACTTAAAAGTTTCTCAGACAGATTCAGCTGTGCGAGTGGGGAAATAGGTGCTGCAAAAGGAGTTTTTCATAAGATTGATACTCAGGATGCACGACCGGTATAACAACAACTGAGGTGACATCCTTCAGCGCATCAGAAGGTGATTGCGGAACAGGTTGAGCCTGAAGACATTGCAGAAAACGGTTCCATAGGGGAGCCAACAGAAGCACCATCACGAAGTAGCGACGAGTCGACCGAGTTGCTTGTCCAAGCCTGGACAGGCGAAGATACGCCAGAATCTTTACCAAGGCAGCCGGACATCGTTCCAGAACTCGTGAGGTTTGCTGACAAACTCTTTAATCAGCGACAAGATTTGTTCGCCATAGGTAACCAGACATCGATTGATCTGTTGCTGGTCTGGACGAACAACCGACAGAAAACGATCAGCAACTGACGGAAACTAAATCGAGTACGACAGCAAGAACAGAAAGAAAAAGAAGGAAACCGACGAGATGGGGACCGGAGCTGGAGGGATGGATAGTGGAAGTTCCTGAGTCTGGTAAAGATCTATAAGAACAACGTCGGGACGACGTTTTAGAGGGTGGGGAGCTTTGTGAAGTTGTGACAATTGCGATGATAATGATTGCATGATTGAAATATGCCGCCTGTATATTTTGTGAAATTGTGACGATTGCGATTGTGTGCCGCCTATATATATTTATATATTTTAATAGACATTCTATTTATGTATATCTTGTTATTTGATATGCTATATGCGATATATGCGACGCTGCTATGTGCTGTTTTGTATATAGGGAGTTTAGCAATATATGCGACGCGTGCTACGTGCTGTTCTGAGTATAGAAAAAGAGTATAGAAGGAAGTATAGAATTTTCTATGATGTAGAAAGCGTTATGTAGATAGAGCGGTAAAAACATATAAAAAACCGCAAGCTGAGATATAGAGAGTCGTCGTTCGTTATTTTTATTTTAGGTTTTGTTTCTGGCTTGGTTTCGTCTACCTTATTAACAAATTGTTAATTTTGGATTTATCGCTCGTTAATAAAGACAGAGGTTTGATTTGTACTATTTTGTTTGTTTTATTTTGTTTTTATTGAATAAAAGAAGTGTACACTTGAAATTTGGCTCGGCTTAATTATTTTACCTAAAATAATGTACGTTGAAGAAGACTTGCTGATAGTTGACGAGGTCGGTGTCTCTAGTTAACAAGCAGGGCGCGAACAAACTTCCGCTCGGCCCGTGTTTTCTGACCCTGAGAGGATCTATTGTAGAGTGGCGAATCCCGGCCAGAAAAGACTCCGCCGAGGTGAAGGCTCGGGTGGATATTCGTATGCAGATGCGGCTTGGGACCGCGTGGTGCGAAATTCGAATACCGCTTGGCGAAAATCTACATTATTAATTATTAACCAAATTTGATAAAATATACCAAATTTTTAGCTTTAGAAAGTTTACTATTGAGCTTTTCAATATTTCAATAACAAATTCGGTAGATTGAATATTTATTTAGCGATTTTTATAAACATGCGTAGATGTACTAAAAGATGTCTGAAATAGTGTATAAAATATAAATTACATGTTTATACCCGCCAACAACTTGAATTAATTATGAACTGAATAAATATTCATATATTCAAAAATTAAATTTTTCTTAGTTGTAATAATTTTCAATAATTCCAAAATAACTTGAATTGAACAGTTAATATAAAAATAATAACCTTTGCAGTGTACTGCAATTGCTCCGGGTGTTTTATGACAAACATCCATGAATTTTTTTACTAAAGCTATTGGGGGAACGGTTCCGTCGGGGAAATACATGTCATAGTGTTTTATACCTAAATGATTGGGTCTAATTTTTATATATCAGCATTAATTCAATTATTGCTATATAAAAACTAATTATATTCAATACGTCAACAAACTCGTACATTAGTATGTTATTGAAAATATCCGTATACTAAGTTTTAAAATATAATAGTTTGACAAGACTGATAAAATGAAAAAACCTGCATCGGTGAACTTTTTAGAGGGGTACATGTCTTTATTTAATCTAACTACTGAAGTGACATTGTTTTGTTTGAAATAAGGAATGTAAAACTCTGGAGTGTGTGACATGAATCCTGCTTTTATAAATTTAACATATTCGATTTAATAATATTATTATATTTCTTATTAGACATATGAAAAACAATTAATCATTCTATTCAAAGAAATGAAACTAACATATTTTCTCCAAAAAAGCAAGAAAATACATTTATTCTAAATTGGAAGCATACTTTTTGTACCAAACATTTTGTCTAAAAAAAACTCAAACTTAAATCCACAATAACGTTGATAACTTATGAGCTATGTAACCGATAGACGAATATAGTCCAAAATACGTTAAGAAAAAACAATAAAGTATAATTTTTAAATTTTGAAGTTGTAGTAAACTGACGTAGCTATATTATTTTATTGAAATAAAAAACAAAATCTCAAAAACATTTTTTTAGAATGGAAATAAACCTACAATGTTTGAATGAACAAGTGTTTGATCCAAAATCTCTCTCTCTCTCTTTCTCATTTTCTTTCTTTCTCTATATAAAAATCAATGATCAATGGTAATGGTGCTTGCGCAGGATCCATCATCTGACCTACCGCGATCGCGTCCCCAACGTTGAGGTGAAAAAAGAAAACAGCAGCCCTCCGTTTCCTCACTTCTGTTCAGGCGTCGTCCAAACTTCTTTGGTCACATAGCTTGCGCAAGTCCTATGGAAGATCATTACCGGGCTTTAAAAGCTGTCATAGACCGACCGCTACCAGACTGGACTCGACCGCGCGGCTGTCCAAGGCAGTCATGGATCCGCTTAGTGGATCATGGATACTGTCCCTCATCAACTACGGTCCTTACTCGGCCTGGAGACTTGCTCATGATCGCTTGAAATGGAAGCACCTTGTGAACACGGCAACGTCCCGTTATGGGGAACGCCCATTATATATATATATATATATATATATATATATATATATTTGTTATAGATCATAATTTTTACATATTCTATAAATTCTACCGAATGTTTGGCGTTAATATGTTTGTAGTTCGTTTTTTCGATTTTATATTATCTTATTCTATAAATTCTACCGAATGTTTGGCGTTAATATGTTTGTAGTTCGTTTTTTCGATTTTATATTATAATATTCTATAAATTCTACAAAATTTCAAAATCGAAAAATCGAACTGCAAACATATTAACGCCAAACATTCGGTAGAATTTATAGAATATGGTAATATAAATATGTAAATC